CGTCGGGCCGAAGTTAAAAATTATTTTTAAATAAGTTTAACTAACGTATCGCATTTTAAACCGTTAAAGTGTTTTATTTAAACTTATGATGAGTTTGTTGGTCTAATGTCTAATTAACGACGGGTCCAACTATGTTTCTAAAAGATTAATCATTAAAAAACTGAAAAAACCCGTGGGTTTTAATCACGTTTCGATTTCAGTGCGAAAATTACGTGCAAAAATAGATCGACAGCACATCTAATTATGATGTTATATAGGCTTTAGGATAGATAACATACTTGTCTGTCCTTCTCTGTCGTAAAAAGCATAATAATAAAAGCTACAGTCATTGGTCTAATTTCGGTTTAGGAAAAAGTGTAATATCGAATTGATTATATACAACAAGACCTTTATAATTGGTTTTTATGTCAAATAAAAATTGGACTTAGTATTTTCCAACGAGATATAATATGCAAATCATTGTTTTTATGCCGACGTGAGGGAGAAGATGTTCTCGACGTTTCAACGGCATCAGCAGGAGATGTTCAGGAAATGTGATGGCGAAACGCCGAGAAGCTCTTCTCGCTCACATCGGCCGAACACCCCGAAAAACAATGATATGCTGAACGATGGCCGTGAAAGCCTTACACAATTTATTAGATTCTAGTTGTGCCCGCGACTTCGTCCGCGTGGAATAGTGACTTTGGGTACAATTTTTAATTATTAAGCCTGTTTATTTATGAAAGAGCGCATTGAAGGCAGCCAATCTGTGTGGTGAGTGCTACATTGCCGTAACACTCCCACTCTCACCTCACATCACTCCTACTTTAACTCCCACTCTCACTCCCATTCCCAAAAAGCCAAAGTAGGAAGTTTCCTTGTTCTACCTTCAAAAATCACGAATTTCCATATAAACTTTCATCCCCTAACAACCCTTTTTTAAATTAAAAAGTAGCGTAGGTCCTTTCTCAGGCTCTAAAATTTCATTTAAATCGGTGTAGTAGTTTCGACGTTAAAGCCGGACAGACAGACAGAGTTATTTTCCCATTTATAAAATTAGTATAGATAATATATAGCTTAGAATTCAAGTCCTGGCGTAGTGACTTTCTACAAATTAAATAATTCCTTTTTTGCCATTAGTACATTAAATTTAGATATGCAGTAGAGGTGATCAAACAAAATATATACAGCTACTTAATTGATATGTAAATGCTGTAACGATTAAAGAAATTAACATAATTGTATTTATTATAGAAGCAAGAACATTAATCTGTGTCATTAGCTTTGTTCTATCTAAATTATAAAACTTGTCCTACCGGAAAGAAATAGAATTATATTATTGTTGATCTAAGCAAAAATGCGATGGTGCAAATTATTGTCATATTATAGTTTTAATTGTAGTAAAATGGATGATGAGAATGTTATATATAAAATTTAATCTGTATGTTAATAAAGTATGTATTATATAACTTTAATAAATATCTAAGTGCGTACTGGTATTTTTGAAAACTGTATATGGTGACTAGCTGCATCCAGCGACTTCGTCCATAAGGATCGTTATTTTGGGCATCCAGAATCGTTTTTGCAAACCCCTCCATCTTTTTACGACGTCAGTCGCGTCCCTTTCCGTCGTTCTTGCAAGTTAATTTTAAAAGATAGACATATAGCGTCGAGGACTTTTTTTTTGATCATTTAAAGAAGAATCATTATTTTATACATATTTTTTGATAACCTGGACCGTTTTTGCAGCGTACGCTTCGGAAACCCATAATAATGAGGGGTTTTCTTAAAAAAAATTTTGACATTTCTCGCTGTATCTTCGCTTGTATTAGTTACATGGCGATGTTTTATAGCCAACCTTCCTCGATAAATGCTCTAACCAACACAGAAATATTTTTTTAGATTGACTGAGATTAGCGCGTTCGAACAAACAAGCGAACAAACTCTTAAATTTTATATATTTCATATATATACGATGTGATGAGTGACGTGTAAAATAATTTTTGGGAAGTTTTTTCAGAGTAAACTATTAATAATTTGTAGTGTCTAGGCAGTGAAATCCCGTAGGAGGTATTTCTGGGTCCGTTTTACTGATCGCTTCTTTTACAGTTAGTTGATCAGTCCGCTGCCTGCCCGATTAAAACTATCTATTCATTCTCCGGGATTCGAACCCAGGACCTCTCGCGGTTATCACAATGCTAGGCAGCACGTTTAACCATTTGGCTACAGAGACGGTCAAATAACTAGGTAGGTTGGTATCTACTTCCTTTTATTCTTTGATTATTTCTTTTTTTTTTGTGCAAAAGTTGACATAGGCGTCAAGGCTGCCTTGCCTTGTATTTTATTACTTTGTCTCATAAATGTGTTCTAATTAATATATGTTTAGCGTGTCTAGGTTAAGAAGTTTGTAAAAAGTCGTTTCATATAGAAATTCAGATTTTTAAACCTGGCATAAAATATTTAAAATGGCGGGAAACGAGACGTCGCGATGACTTTTTAAAATAGGAACGCGAAGGAAATCAAATTGAAAGTGTATATGCCCGATGCTGAAATGTCATTCGAATATGACGTTTCAAAATCGACTATGTGAAGTTGACTTTTATCAAAAGTTGAAAATGTAGGCACATAATTTTTAATTGCCCGTTAACAGTGAAACTGCATATTTAGTTTATGCAAATGACGCTACGATCTTTGATTCGGTTAATTAATATGCAAACACTGGAATAAAACACGTTTTACGGTTCAAAACCCGAAATATATAAGTGAAACATATTTTTTATTACTTTCCCTGCAAAGCATTTTAAATCCAGCGTAGTAGTAATTAATTCAAATTAAGGTTAGCTAGGTAATATATAACGGGTTTTAAACTGTTAATTGTTTACTACCGGGTAAACTACTGGAAAATACTTTCCATTTTATTTATTGTTAATGTCTTTATTATTAATAGTTGATACTAATAATGCCATCATTAATTGTGTAAGTATTCATCAGGCAAATTCTATCTAGGTAACGACGAGAGATGGACCTTCTTATTCTGGACAACCTACAAATTAATGCATATTTTGATATATGTCAACATATAAGAAAATATGCATTAATTTTTATTTTTGGTTCGATTTTTGATTACAATTTCTATAACAAAATTATGTAAAATATGTATTCCTACCATAAGTGCACATTTCATTCCTGTATATATTCTGTAAAGAATGCATTAGATGCTTGATCGTCTTATAAAATGACCCGAGTACCATACAATAAATTAAAAGGTTTTAACCTTAATACAATAATAGAGTAATTTCAGTCAGATTGTGTGATCATAGGAACATAATTTCTAGTTGCAATATGTTGCACGACATTTGTAAATATTGGCAGGAAACGACGTGTCGACCTTTGAAATTACTTTTCCAATTGGACTAGTAACAGCAATACAAGATTAGATTTTAGAGACCCCAGTGTAGGGCCCCGAATATTTACAACTTCATATTATTTAATTATCTCATTTCTCAGTACTACTGTATAACGTCCCGACTCAAGAAATACAGTTTTGTGTGTAATTTTGCATATTCTAAAGCATAGTGATCTTATGTATCTGTCTGTTCAATTCTGTTTTATAACATCGTTAGAATCATTTCTTCGCTCGTTCATTTAAATAAAACACTTTTAACGGATAAGCTAACAAATATATTTCACGTTATAAACCATTAACCGTGTTTGTTTTAAATACAATTCCTTGTTGGTTAAGAATGAATATATACTTTACCAAGTAAGTTTTTCTTAGACTCAAGTCTAGAATCGCCACAGTCTCATTCCCGTTTAAAATATTCATCGTTATCATCTTAAAATACACGTAGGGCCCCAAAGCCTTTTAAATCCAACCCTGCACCCCTGTCCCACTGAATAACGCTTAAGAAAATTCCATGAATGCAAAATAAGCCACTAACAACATAAACGTATTGTCTCGGTTCGTGTTTGCTTGATTAGAACTTATTGTAAATTGTGTGATCCACTTTGTTGTTTTCATTATAGTAATAGACATACGTTGTATTTCCATAGAAAAGGTCTATGCCCATTTTTAATATAGAGGAGGACAGAGAAGCAAAAGATACACTTTACGGATGAAATACCACAAATAGATGTATAGGCATCTAAGCAAGATTCACTGTCGAATTATATTGGATTTGGATATTTCTAAATTCACGAGCTAAAACTGAAACACGATCAGACTTCTCGGCTTTTTCATCTGTGGGTGGTTCGTTATCCGGATAAAATTTCGATAATCCTACCACGAAATTTCAGATAAAGTCCAAGATGTTGTCCAAAATATAAATTGATTAGAAATATTTTAAAAACACATACCTACAGACACAAATCACATAGTTTTTTTGTGTTGATTGTAATCTTTGACCGTAACAATTTATTTACTAGTTGCATTTGTAACATAAACGCACCGAACGAGTATTTTAGAAGGCCGATTCAATTGATAATTAAGAATTCTAAACTACGACTAAATTATACCACCATAAGTCGCCATTGATTTTTCAATTTATATAAACTTTCATGTCCATACAAACAAAACTTATCAAACTGAATATTGAAAGACGAAGATAAGAGAATGCTAAAAGCTTTTCTCATATGGAGCAGCCCTACAAACCAGCACTCATTAACGCAAAAAAAACCTTTCAAAGGCAACTTAATACGTCAAAAACTCGCGTTCAGCTAATTTCAATGACACACTTTGTCACAACACTCGTAAAAATAATCAAGTGCGCATAAAACCATTAAACGCGAGTTATCAAACAATAATAATTGCTGTCACAATAAAAATGTTCGAGGCTGGATCGGCGAGCGAGTGTCGAAAGTGGATAACTTTTAAAACGTTATATGGACGGTAATAAAACGTTCGTTCCCGTACGAGCACAATACTCGCGGAAATATTTTTGAATACGGAATTAGGTTTGGCACGCGGGCAGATAAGGCAGAGAAAAAAAAACAAATTTGTAACGGGTAAAGTTTTCGGCGGAATGTCTCCCTCGGGTGCTGAATCTTCGTCGGGTGGTCGTAAAAGCCGGGACGTGGGCAACCGGGTAAATTTGTCCGGAGACCTATGACGTTTTGATGGAACGTGCCCAGACTGATTTGACGTGGCACAATTCATATTCATAACCGCGTCTTATTAGTTTCGCTTCCGATCCTAATTTTCATGAAAAGGAAAATCATCATTTTTCGTAGCGCGGTTATTTAATTAAGAATTAAGGAACGGAATTAAACAAATATGTTAGTTTACTAGCTGTGGAAATGTTTTTTTTTTGTATAATATACTGTCACAGTTGTTTTTTTTAAACTTCTTTTAAAGAGGATTAATCCTTTAGTTTTGTTATGGTTTCTTGGGCTGTTTTCGTAGCGCCTAGCAACAATAGCCTTTAAGAATAATTTCCCCGATTTTTCTACTTTATTCTCTGTTAGTTCGGTCATTTTGGAAGCCTGTTATTAAAAATTGTTGATCAAACTTCAGTGCCCTGCTTGACCGAAATAATTTAACTATAAAAATAGTGCCGTGTAGTCGAAAATCGTCTTTTATGTTAAATTAGATTATGGACATAATTAATACAAAGTTCATAATACTGTCTGTAGTTTACGCGAATAGTAAATACTTAAATTAAACACTATAAAGGTTTAAAACGCGAAATATATTACTTATCGTCTTTGAAACGTCGGGCTGTAGTGAAAACAATTTTCAAATAAGTTTAACTAATATTATATTTCGCGTTTTAAACAGATAAAGTGCATATCATTTAATACATCATCAAATTACACTGAAACAATTAAACTCCCAAAATCACATTATAACATTCCGGATTGAAACAGAATGCACTCATATAGGTCCTTCAAAGAACGGCACCCGTGTCTAAGTTATCTTGGAATTTTAAATTGGACGAATCGCTCAAATGTAAATGGTTTTCCTTTATACCCCATCCTCTCGGGCTGCCCACCCCGTCTATTGCGCGCCTAGAGGCGACTGGCATACCAACACACGCACACACCTTCATCACAGCCTATGTCGTGGCACCAGCGATGGAAGACCCCTCGACATATAAGCATCCACTTATCGGGATCCTGTTTTGCATACAATCCGGGGGGGGTGTAGAGATCAGCTGGAGTTGGTATCGTTAGGCTAACGCGTTCATCCCACACAAGTTCACATCTCAAACGTACGTTACGAGTGTGAATACGTAAATAAGAATTCAAAAACGCGAGTTGTAATACGTCTTGGTAGTATGCGAAATCTTTTCGGTTGTAACAAAGAAGTGGTATCGCTGAGGGCGATCGCGTGTTTGCTTTCAGGCGAGATTGTTTTGATGCGTTAATCTTCGACTATATCTTGCTTCGGTATGGAAATTGAGTACTTTGATATACTTATCTATCAAATACCGCCTCTGTGGATCAATAACTACTATTTCATTTATTTATTTTGTAAATCTATATTAATATATAACGCTGAAGAGCTGGTTTGTGTGTTTGAATGCGCTAATCTCAGGAACAACTATCAAATTCGATTCAAACTGAATTTCTTTTTTTTCGTGTTTATGAGAGCATTTATCCAAGTAGGCTTTAGGCTCGAAAACATCATGAAGTGATCAATAGGAGTCAAGGAACAACAGGAATGTGCAAGAATGAGGAAATATAATCCTCCTTGTGGGTTGCCGACGCGTACGCTGCGAAAATGGTTCAAGATACCAAAAAAAATATGTATTGTATGTACGCAAAATAAAGTTTTCTCTTTGTCTATCTTATAAGATTAACTTGCAAGAACGACGGAAAGCAACCGATGTCGTAGGTAATGTAATAATAGCTATATTTTACACAGATCACGTTTGCATACACAAATTTCGATGACGAAGTACGCTGGTACAGTCTCTGCGGAGCAATGATTGAACTGTTGCCTACATTAATTAAGTTTGTCCAAATAAAAGTTTGGTACATTATGATAGAGAACATACAAGGATGGTTCAATTGATGGATACATTTGGTTCTGAATAATTGAAAATCCACATACTGAAGTCAAAACTGCACTGCTTTGTGATCTGTGAATTTCAGAATCCCTACTGATATTTAATATCAATATTTCTATACTAAGTCCAACATATTTCAAAATAATTAAAAATCTATTAGAAATTGGACTTGGTGGGGATCGAATCCACGACCCATTGATTGTAAATAACTATTGGCATAAATATCATCAATTTTAAAATAGTATAATTGAGAAAGGTTTATTTAATTCTATTTATTTATTAATTTTCTATGTATTCTACTAATATTATAAACGTGAAAGTGTGTATGTGTGGATGGATGTTTGTTACTCTTTCACGCAAAAACTACTGAATGGATTTCAATTAAACTTTTCAATAATATAGCTTATACATCAGAATAATACATATAGCCTACAATTCATAAAGATATCGTGTGAGCTGTCCAAAATATGACATTAAGTGTCAAGTAACTAGGAAAATACCTACCGTTCTGCGAGCTGTTCTGGCGTGCGCTGCCATAAACGTCAGTTACACGTACTTATGTCATATTGTTAGTTCTTTTCTACGCCACGCTAATGTAAGCTACACTTAATACTAATCCTGCGCAGACGAAGTCGCGGGCACCAACTAGTAGACAATAAGGCAGACACATTTATGTTACCACTTTGACAATCGATCATATAAAGCGCAGATGTCTGCAGACCGAAGTATTTATTAATGATTATGTTTTGCTAGCATCCTTTTCCACTGAGAGCTTTGGAGTACAAATATGTTTTCAGGACTGCCCCAATGCACCGTAGAGGGCTAGTGGTGTGTTTAGTGGTTCTAGTCGGCTATACGATTTATCACACTCCCCATGACACTACTGCCCGACGTGGGCGTTCATTTGGCATTCACACCATCAGTTAATAAAAAAGGATCCCTTCCACTTAAACGTCACACATTGCGTTTTATTTAACACTAAATCGGTCTAATTTTCACAAAGTTGTGTGTGTATTATATATAATCTTATTATTCTGTGATATGATCACAAACACACTATATGTATATTAAAATTTTAATAGATAAATGTTAGTACACAAAAGTCCGCCCACAGATAATCTTAGATCTTAATTGGCCATATACATTGACCATACAATATTACAATTACATAAGCTCGTCTGCTCGTAACTGTTTAATGTGTGGGAGAGGTTGATTAATTAAAGCTATCGCCTTATCGCCACGCCCTGATGATAAGACGTTGATAGACATTGTTTAGAAAATTTGCTGAACTCACGTTATATCATACATTGTCTTATTCTCTGTCCTTATGCAACTCATGTCAAATGTCGTGATCAAATCAATGCTAATTTATAAATAATAAATATAATTATTATTTTTTCTTTTGCCGTTCTAAGTTGAATCGCGTGATAAAATGGATCAAATGATAAAAACTATATTACAGGTGTTGCCTAACATTGAAATATGGACGAGAGGTTCTAGGTTAGAATCCTGGGGAAATAATAGGTTGTTTCGATCGAGCAGGGCACTGAAGTTTGATCTGACTATAAAAAACAGTTCAGTGAAACGGACACAGAAATTGTTCGCTCCATGCGGGGGGATTTAACTTTCTATTTCATAGACCTGTAAGATATAGTAGTTTTTAAAATTATGTATAAACAACTAGCGATTATAGTAAGACTTATAATTTGAAAAATAAAACTTTAAAATACAAAGGTTTTTGCTATTCAACACTAGATGGCGCTAGGCGTCGTCCACAAGCGTTTTACGTGGCAGCAAGGAGATTTATCTTCGATAAGAAAAACATTTACATACTTTCCTCGTTAAATTAAAATAACTTCATTTCCTCGACGTCGAGAAACTTTTCAGTTTTAACGAATGAACTTGAGTTTACCTATAACATTTAAGCAACTTTTTGAAGGAAAATAAATTAGAATCTTGTATAATTTATTTTACTTACATGTGTTTAATATTCATAAACTTTCCTGCTTTATATGGAATTTCATTTTATAATACTTATACCGTAAGACCTATGAAGGTAGTAAGTAAAACAAAGTTGAAATTGTAATTATTTACAACATGTACTTTTAAACCCTTTCTTTTTGTGTCTAATTTAGTAAGTTATGTGAGTAAAGCAAAAACATTTCATTGGCTTATAATTGTTAATTATAAAATTGTGAAAAAATTGTAGTGCATTAAAGATAAATAACATCGTTTTTAAATAAAACACATTAGCGAATTAAAACGCGATATATATATTAGTATAATTTATTTACAGATTATATTACCTACTACCTGTCTCCCCGTGACCACGGCTGCTACAAACCATACAAAACGTCGTGCCATAGTTAAAATGATCTTTAACTAAGTTTAATTGATATACATTGCTTTTAATTTAAATGTATTTAGTTATACAATTGGGTAAATTTAATACAGCCTTTATCAACATTTTCGCTTACTGAAAATCGACAGTAAATAAAAATATGAAGACATATAACATTCAATTTCATATTACATCGTCTAGTCAATATCCCAAACAATGCCAAAGGAAGATAAGACAATCCACGATCCTTAACTTTTCCTTAACGACCGCCACTAGCCGCGAGGATCTTCTAAGACACATTAATTTAATTTTATGGCCCTTGTATTTGTCACTGCGCATTTTTCTGATTTGTGGCACTAACGAGGGAATCTTAAGTACCCTATTATTAATATGCCATGTATTGTTTACGCCAACTCGATTAGAAAGAAACAATTTATGCGTAAGACTGTCACTCTATTAAACAATAATATCTTATACACTTCTGCGATTAATTCGTACCTACGCTTAACAAAACATAATTCGCGTTTTAAACCATTATACAATGTTTTATATAATGTTACGTAGTGATATAATGAGACAGTTATTACGAATGTAGTTAGTTCCTAGGCTGCATTTGATGATGTAAACAATGTTATAGTATGCCCTTATCAATATTAAATTAAATTCTCGAGTTTAAATGATTATTAATAAATCATTGTATCAATAACATCTAATAATAAAAGAAAACACAAGAGGTGTTATTTTATATATTTTAGTTGAGTTGAAGGAACTATTTACGTTAGGCAGTTCCAGTATGTTTAAAAACTGTCTGTAGTTTACGCTAGTAGATTTAAATAAAACACTTTAATGGTTTAAAACGCGATATATATTAGTAAAATTCGGAAATTATTAATTATTAATATTGGGCACGGGGAGCCGTGACCACGGATGTTGCAAAGCATCCGAAATATTGAGCCATAGTTAAAGTAATTTCCAAATAAGTTGAACTTAATTGTATCGCGTTTTAAACCATTAAAGTGTTTGAAATCTTAAAATGTCTTCGAGGTTTCGAAAGCGGTGTCTTCAGATTTTCAACTGTACGGATACATTAATACCACTAGCAGCGGCCATAAAATATACCTACTGCTATATGTATAACATATTTATGAGTCCACCTCAAAAGACAATATTAAGAATAATCGAATAACCAGTTCGGATTACATTCGTGATTATCACTACTGAATCACCATCACATTCCGTCGAAGCCTCGTATCGCCGGACCTCTTGTTTCTCGTCCACATTTATCACCATTTGAATAAATTCAATATGTACATTGAATTGCGTGTAATTAATGGTTTTATTCGTTTAGCACTTAGAACGTTTTAAGGGCGAGGTGTCCAAACATTCTCCGTCCCTTTCTCGGCTATTCAAGTGAAGAGGACGCACAATCCCGCCGGAACACCCGCTGACTTAGATCATTAATAATGATTTGTGGTCAATCAGAGTTCTGGAGGATTTCACTTTTAAAATGTTTCTCTTCCCCGGCTCGGTCTTTATTAGGGTCTACGATATTTTTCGTGCAACGACATCTGTTATTTTTTTATATCGTCTTCATTCATACACCGAATATCGTACGAATATTTATTGGTCACTGTTTCCGTAAAACGTCCGAGCGCATTATGGTTTTTATGACTGAAACATTGAAATACACAGGCGATAAAATTTTATAAGCGAGTAACGATCGGGCGAGAATGATAATTATTTTTATATTTCTGCAAAGTTATTGCGAGATTTCAATTTACACTTGATAAAGTAAACACGATATTTGTTTATACTTTTTT